ACTCCTACCATGTGAGGTGTTGAGACTCCTACCGTGTGAGGCGTTGAGACTCCTACCGAGTGAGGCGTTGAGACTCCTACCATGTGAGGTGTTGAGACTCCTACGATGCGTGAGGCGTTGAGACTCCTACCGAGTGAGGTGTTGAGACTCCTACCATGTGAGGTGTTGAGACTCCTACGATGCGTGAGGCGTTGAGACTCCTACCGAGTGAGGTGTTGAGACTCCTACCGTGTGAGGTGTTGAGACTCCTACCGTGTGAGGTGTTGAGACTCCTACCGTGTGAGGTGTTGATTCTCCTACCGAGTGAGGTGTTGAGACTCCTACCGAGTGAGGTGTTGAGACTCCTACCGAGTGAGGTGTTGAGTCTCCTACCGTGTGAGGCGTTGAGACTCCTACCGTGTGAGGTGTTGAGACTCCTACCGTGTGAGGTGTTGAGTCTCCTACCGAGTGAGGTGTTGAGACTCCTACCGTGTGAGGTGTTGAGACTCCTATCGTGTGAGGTGTTGATTCTCCTACCGAGTGAGGTGTTGAGACTCCTACCGAGTGAGGTGTTGAGACTCCTACCGAGTGAGGTGTTGAGTCTCCTACCGTGTGAGGCGTTGAGACTCCTACCGTGTGAGGTGTTGAGACTCCTACCGTGTGAGGTGTTGAGTCTCCTACCGAGTGAGGTGTTGAGACTCCTACCGTGTGAGGTGTTGAGACTCCTACCGAGTGAGGTGTTGAGACTCCTACCGAGTGAGGTGTTGAGACTCCTACCGAGTGAGGTGTTGAGATTCCTACCGTGTGAGGTGTTGAGACTCCTACCGTGTGAGGTGTTGAGTCTCCTACCGAGTGAGGTGTTGAGACTCCTACCGAGTGAGGTGTTGAGTCTCCTACCGTGTGAGGTGTTGAGTCTCCTACCGTGTGAGGCGTTGAGCCTCCTACCGTGTAAGGCGTTGAGACTCCTACCGTGTGAGGTGTTGAGACTCCTACCGTGTGAGGTGTTGAGACTCCTACCATGTGAGGCGTTGAGACTCCCACCGTGTGAGGTGTTGAGACTCCTACCGTGTGAGGTGTTGATTCTCCTACCGTGTGAGGTGTTGAGTCTCCTACCGAGTGAGGTGTTGAGACTCCTATCGTGTGAGGTGTTGATTCTCCTACCGAGTGAGGTGTTGAGACTCCTACCGAGTGAGGTGTTGAGACTCCTACCCTGTGAGGTGTTGAGACTCCTACCGTGTGAGGCGTTGAGACTCCTACCGTGTGAGGTGTTGAGACTCCTACCGAGTGAGGTGTTGAGTCTCCTACCGTGTGAGGTGTTGAGACTCCTACCGTGTGAGGTGTTGAGACTCCTACCGAGTGAGGTGTTGAGACTCCTACCGTGTGAGGTGTTGAGACTCCTAACGAGTGCGGCGCTGAGACTCCTACCCTGTGAGGTGTTGAGACTCCTACCATGTGAGGTGTTGAGACTCCTACCCTGTGAGGTGTTGAGACTCCTACCGTGTGAGGTGTTGAGACTCCTACCGAGTGAGGCGTTGAGACTCCTACCATGTGAGGTGTTGAGACTCCTACCGTGTGAGGCGTTGAGACTCCTACCGAGTGAGGCGTTGAGACTCCTACCATGTGAGGTGTTGAGACTCCTACGATGCGTGAGGCATTGAGACTCCTACCGAGTGAGGTGTTGAGACTCCTACCGTGTGAGGTGTTGAGACTCCTACCGTGTGAGGTGTTGAGACTCCTACCGTGTGAGGTGATGAGACTCCTACCGTGTGAGGTGTTGAGACTCCTACCGAGTGAGGTGTTGAGACTCCTACCATGTGAGGTGTTGAGACTCCTACCGTGTGAGGTGTTGAGACTCCTACCGTGTGAGGTGTTGAGACTCCCACCGAGTGAGGTGTTGAGACTCCCACCGTGTGAGATGTTGAGACTCCTACCGAGTGAGGTGTTGAGACTCCTACCGTGTGAGGCACTGAGACTCCTACCGAGTGAGGTGTTGAGACTCCTACAGAGTGAGGCGTTGAGACTCCTACCGAGTGAGGTGTTGAGACTCCTTCCATGTGAGGTGTTGAGTCTCCCACCGTGTGAGGTGTTGAGTCTCCTACCGTGTGAGGCGTTGAGACTCCTACCGTGTGAGGCGTTGAGACTCCTACCGTGTGAGGTGTTGAGTCTCCCACCGTGTGAGGTGTTGAGACTCCCACCGTGTGAGGTGTTGAGACTCCTACCGTGTGAGGTGTTGAGACTCCTACCATGTGAGGTGTTGAGACTCCTACCGAGTGAGGTGTTGAGTCTCCTACCGAGTGAGGTGTTGAGTCTCCTACCGAGTGAGGTGTTGAGACTCCCACCGAGTGAGGTGTTGAGTCTCCTACAGTGTGAGGTGTTGAGACTCCTACCGAGTGAGGTGTTGAGTCTCCTACCGAGTGAGGTGTTGAGACTCCTACCGAGTGAGGTGTTGAGACTCCTACAGTTTGAGGTGTTGAGACTCCTACCGAGTGAGGCGTTGAGACTCCTACCGTGTGAGGTGTTGAGGCTCCTACCGTGTGCAGCGCTGAGACTCCTACCGAGTGAGGTGTTGAGACTCCCACCGTGTGAAGTGTTGAGACTCCTACCGAGTGAGGTGTTGAGACTCCTACCGTGTGACGTGTTGAGACTCCTACCGAGTGAGGTGTTGAGACTCCTACAGTGTGAGGTGTTGAGACTCCTACCGAGTGAGGTGTTGAGACTCCTACCGTGTGAGGTGTTGAGACTCCTACCGTGTGAGGTGTTGAGACTCCTACTGAGTGAGGTGTTGAGACTCCTACCGTGTGAGGCGTTGAGGCTCCTACCGTGTGAGGTGTTGAGACTCCTACCGAGTGAGGTGTTGAGTCTCCTACCGAGTGAGGTGTTGAGTCTCCTACCGAGTGAGGTGTTGAGACTCCCACCGAGTGAGGTGTTGAGACTCCCACCGAGTGAGGTGTTGAGACTCCTACCGAGTGAGGCTTTGAGACTCCTACCGAGTGAGGTGTTGAGACCCCTACCGTGTGAGGTGTTGAGTCTCCTACCGAGTGAGGTGTTGAGACTCCTACGATGTGTGAGGTGTTGAATCTCCTACCGTGTGAGGTGTTGAGACTCCTACTGAGTGAGGTGTTGAGACTCCTACCGTGTGAGGTGTTGAGACTCCTACCGTGTGAGGTGTTGAGACTCCTACTGAGTGAGGTGTTGAGACTCCTACCGTGTGAGGCGTTGAGGCTCCTACCGTGTGAGGTGTTGAGACTCCTACCGTGTGAGGTGTCGAGACTCCTACCGAGTGAGGTGTTGAGTCTCCTACTGTGTGAGGTGTTGAGACTCCTACCGTGTGAGGTGTTGAGACTCCTATTGTGTGAGGTGTTGAGTCTCCTACCGAGTGAGGTGTTGAGACTCCTACAGTGTGAGGTGTTGAGACTCCTACCGAGTGAGGTGTTGAGTCTCCTACCGAGTGAGGTCTTGAGACTCCTACCGAGTGAGGTGTTGAGACTCCTACAGTTTGAGGTGTTAAGACTCCTACAGTGTGAGATGTTGAGACTCCTACCGAGTGAGGTGTTAAGTCTCCTACCGAGTGACGTGTTGAGACTCCTACCGAGTGACGTGTTGAGACTCCTACCGTGTGAGGTGTTGAGACTCCTACCGTGTGAGGTGTTGAGACTCCTACCGTGTGAGGTGTTGAGACTCCTACCGAGTGAGGTGTTGAGTCTCCTACCGAGTGAGGTCTTGAGACTCCTACCGAGTGAGGTGTTGAGACTCCTACAGTTTGAGGTGTTAAGACTCCTACAGTGTGAGGTGTTGAGACTCCTACCGAGTGAGGTGTTGAGACTCCTACCGAGTGACGTGTTGAGACTCCTACCGTGTGAGGTGTTGAGACTCCTACCGTGTGAGGTGTTGAGACTCCTACCGTGTGAGGTGTTGAGACTCCTACCGAGTGAGGTGTTGAGACTCCTAACGTGTGAGGTGTTGAGACTCCTACCGTGTGAGGTGTTGAGACTCCTACCGTGTGAGGTGTTGAGACTCCTAACGTGTGAGGCGTTGAGACTCCTACCGTGTGAGGTGTTGAAACTCCTAACGTGTGAGGTGTTGAGACTCCTACCGTGTGAGGTGCTGAGACTCCTCCCGTGTGAGGCGCTGAGACTCCTACCGTGTGAGGTGTTGAGACTCCTACCTTGTGAGGTGTTGAGACTCCCACCGTGTGAGGTGTCGAGACTCCTACCGAGTGAGGTGTTGAGACTCCTACCGAGTGCAGTGTTGAGTCTCCTACCGTGTGAGGTGTTGAGACTCCTACCGAGTGAGGTGTTGAGTCTCCTACCGTGTGAGGTGTTGAGACTCCTACCGTGTGATGTGTTGAGACTCCTACCGTGTGAGGTGTTGAGTCTCCTACCGTGTGAGGTGTTGAGACTCCTACCGTGTGATGTGTTGAGACTCCTACCGTGTGAGGTGTTGAGACTCCTACCGAGTGAGGTGTTGAGTCTCCTACCGTGTGAGGTGTTGAGACTCCTACCGTGTGAGGTGTTGAGACTCCTACCGAGTGAGGTGTTGAGACTCCTACCGAGTGCTGAGTCTCAGGATCTCTGTCTCAGGATCTCTGTCTCAGGATCTCCGTCTCAGCGTCTCCGTCTCAGGATCTCTGTCTCAGGATCTCCGTCTCAGGATCTCCGTCTCAGGATCTCTGTCTCAGGATCTCTGTCTCAGGATCTCCGTCTCAGGATCTCCATCTCAGCATCTCCGTCTCAGGATCTCCGTCTCAGGATCTCCGTCTCAGCATCTCCGTCTCAGGATCTCTGTCTCAGCATCTCTGTCTCAGCATCTCCTTCTCAGGATCTCTGTCTCAGGATCTCTGTCTCAGGATCTCCGTCTCAGGATCTCTGTCTCAGCATCTCCGTCTCAGGATCTCCGTCTCAGCGTCTCCGTCTCAGGATCTCCGTCTCAGCGTCTCCGTCTCAGCGTCTCCGTCTCAGCGTCTCCGTCTCAGGATCTCCGTCTCAGCATCTCCGTCTCAGGATCTCCGTCTCAGCGTCTCCGTCTCAGCGTCTCCGTCTCAGCGTCTCCGTCTCAGCGTCTCCGTCTGCGTGTGCCTCAGGGGCCGGCCCCACCACCGGCGAGACGATGTCGCGGGTTCTGCGTCTGGCTGGGCTCCGATCGTCGGAGGCTCACGACTCCCTCGGCCGACTCCTCAGCCGCCTGGCCAGCCGCGGGCACACGAAGCTGGCGGCAAGAATCTTCGCGGCCAAAGGTTGGGGTCATGAGCAGCAGCCACAGTCATCACCCACCCACCAACCACCCACCATCACCACCCACCCACCCACCATCATCACCACCCACCATCATCACCCACCCACCATCATCACCCAGCCACCGTCATCATCACCACCCACCGTCATCACCCACCAACCCACCAACCACCCACCATCATCACCCACCATCATCACCAACCAACATCACCACCCACCCACCAACCACCAATAGTCATCACCCACCCACCCACCACCCACCCACCATCATCACCCACCATCATCACCCACCCACCACTCACCCACCCACCACCCACCAGCAATCATCACCCACCCACCAACCACCCACCCACCATCACCACCCACAGTCATCACCCACCCACCAACCATCCACCATCACCACCCACCCACCCACCAACCACCCACAGTCATCACCCACCCACCAACCACCCACCATCATCACCCACCCACCGTCATCACCCACCCACCCACCATCATCACCACCCACCGTCATCACCCACCCACCATCACCACCCACCCACCAACCACCCACAGTCATCACCCACCCACCACCCACCATCACCACCCACCCACCAACCACCCACAGTCATCACCCACCCACCATCATCACCACCCACCATCATCACCACCCACCAACCACCATCACCACCCACCATCACCACCCACCCACCACCACCACCACCATCCACCGCCCACCAACCACCATCACCACCATCACCACCATCATCACCACCCACCCACCACCATCACCACCATCACCACCACCCACCCACCACCACCCACCAACCACCATCACCACCATCACCACCCACCCACCACCATCACCACCACCATCACCACCCACCCACCACCATCACCACCCACCCACCAACCACCCACCAACCACCATCACCACCACCCACCATCACCACCACCCACCCACCACCATCACCACCACCCACCCACCACCACCCACCACCCACAACCCACCACCTGATGACGACTGCTGTGGTTGTCTCACCTGATGACGATGGCTGTGGTTGTCCCACCTGATGACGACTGCTGTGGTTGTCTCACCTGATGACGATTGCTGTGGTTGTCACACCTGATGACGATGGCTGTGGTTGTCCCACCTGATGACGATTGCTGTGGTTGTCACACCTGATGACGATGGCTGTGGTTATCACACCTGATGACGATGGCTGTGGTTGTCACACCTGATGACGATGGCTGTGGTTGTCACACCTGATGACGATGGCTGTGGTTATCACACCTGATGACGATGGCTGTGGTTGTCACACCTGATGACGACTGCTATGGTTGTCACACCTGATGACGATTGCTGTGGTTGTCACACCTGATGACGACTGCTATGGTTGTCACACCTGATGACGATTGCTGTGGTTGTCACACCTGATGACGATTGCTGTGGTTGTCACACCTGATGACGATTGCTGTGGTTGTCACACCTGATGACGACTGCTGTGGTTGTCACACCTGATGACGATTGCTGTGGTTGTCACACCTGATGACGATTGCTGTGGTTGTCACACCTGATGACGATTGCTGTGGTTGTCCTGATGACGATTGTTGTTGTTGTCACACCTGATGACGACGGCTGTGGTTGTCACACCTGATGACGATTGCTGTGGTTGTCACACCTGATGACGATTGCTGTGGTTGTCACACCTGATGACGATGGCTCTGGTTGTCACACCTGATGACGATTGCTGTGGTTGTCACACCTGATGACGATGGCTCTGGTTGTCACACCTGATGACGATTGCTGTGGTTGTCACACCTGATGACGATTGCTGTGGTTGTCACACCTGATGACGATTGCTGTGGTTGTCACACCTGATGACGATTGCTGTGGTCGCCCCACCTGATGACGACTGCTGTGGTTGTCACACCTGATGACGACGGCTGTGGTTGTCCCACCTGATGACGATTGCTGTGGTTGTCACACCTGATGACGACTGCTGTGGTTGTCCTGATGACGATTGCTGTGGTTGTCCTGATGACGATTGCTGTGGTTGTCCTGATGACAATTGCTGTGGTTGTCCCACCTGATGACGATGGCTGTGGTTGTCCTGATGACAATTGCTGCGGTCGCCCCACCTGATGACGACTGCTGTGGTTGTCACACCTGATGACGATGGCTGTGGTTGTCACACCTGATGACAATTGCTGTGGTTGTCACACCTGATGACGATGGCTGTGGTTGTCACACCTGATGACAATTGCTGCGGTCGCCCCACCTGATGACGACTGCTTGCCTTGCGCGATCGACACGACCGTGATCCGTCACCGGCGTCACTTCACCGAAACACCGCAGAGGTCATCGGTGCCCGCTAGCAAGGCCACCCGACCCCCTACGAGCGGGCCCACCCACCCCACCCACCCCACCCACCCCACCCACCCCACCCACCCCACCCACCTCACCACCCACCCCCGACCTTTGAACCGCAGGCGTGACGCTCAAGAAGCCCTTCGTGGACGTGGTGGGGGCCCGCTACGGGGCTCGCCCCCACGGCCTGCTGGGCCCACCCAGGGAGGACGTGAAGGCGATCAACGCGTGGGTGGAGGAGCGGACCGAGGGACGCGTGACCGGACTGCTGGACGACCTGCCCCTCGAGGCACGGCTGGTGCTCGTCAGCGCCGTCCACTACAGGGGTGAGGGGGGACAACAACGCGGGACAACGCGGGACAACGCGTGCACGCCCAGGCTGAGTCGCACGCTGAGTTACACACTGCTGTGTAGCACATTATACACTAAATTATATACTACATTATACACTACGTTTAATACTACATTATACACTACATTGTACACTACATTATACACTACATTATACACTACATTATATACTACATTATACACTACTGTATAGTACATTATACACTATATTATACACTACATTATAGACTAAATTATATACTACTACACACTACATTATACACTACTACACACTACATTATATACTACATTATACACTACATTATACACTGCTGTGTAGCACATTATACACTACATTATACACTACATTATACACTACGTTTTATACTACATTATACACTACATTGTACACTACATTATACACTACATTATACACTACATTATACACTACGTTTTATACTACATTATACACTACATTGTACACTACATTATACACTAAATTATATACTACTACACACTACATTATACACTACATTATACACTACATTATACACTACTATACACTACTGTACACTACTATATACTACATTATATACTACTATACACTACTATACACTACTATACACTACGTTATACACTACATTATACACCTCATTCTACACTACTACACACTACATTATACACTACATTATACACTACATTATACACTACATTATACACTACATTATATACTACATTATACACTACTGTATAGTACATTATACACTATATTATACACTACATTATAGACTAAATTATATACTACTACACACTACATTATACACTACATTATACACTGCTTTATAGCACATTATACACTATATTATATACTACATTATACACTACATTATACACTACTGTATAGTACATTATATACTACATTATATACTACATTATACACTATATTATATACTACATTATACACTGCATTATATACTACTACACACTACATTATATACTACATTATATACTACATTATATACTACTAAATACTACATTATATACTACTACACATAACATAATACACTACATTATACACTACATTATACACTACTACGCACTACATTATACACTACATTATACACTACATTATATACTATTACACATTACATTATACACTACATTATACACTACATTATACACTACTACACACTACATTATATACTACATTATACACTACATTATACACTACTATACACTACTATATATTGAATTATACACTACCATACACTACTATATACTACTATATACTACATTATACACTGCTTTATAGCACATTATATACTACATTATACACTACATTATACACTACATTATATACTACATTATACACTACATTATACACTGCTTTATAGCACATTATACACTATATTATAAACTACATTATACACTACATTATACACTACTGTATAGTACATTATATACTACATTATACACTACATTATATACTACATTATACACTACGTTTATACTACTATATACTACATTATACACTGCTTTATAGCACATTATATACTACATTATACACTACATTATACACAACATTATACACTACATTATACACTATATTATATACTACTACACACTACATTATATACTACATTATATACTACATTATATACTAATAAACACTACATTATACACTACATTATACACTACATTATACACTACATTATACACTACTACACACTACATTATACACTACATTATACACTACATTATACACTACTACACACTACATTATACACTACATTATACACTACATTATATACTACATTATACACTACATTATACACTGCTTTATAGCACATTATACACTACATTATACACTACATTATACACTACATTATACACTACTGTATAGTACATTATATACTACATTATAGACTACATTATACACTACATTATATACTACATTATACACTACATTATATACTACTACACACTACATTATATACTACATTATATACTACATTATATACTAATAAATACTACATTATATACTAATAAACACTACATTATACACTACATTATACACTACTACACACTACATTATACACTACATTATACACTACATTATACACTACTACACACTACATTATACACTACATTATACACTACATTATATACTACTAAACATTACATTATACACTACATTATACACTACATTATACACTACTACACACTACATTATACACTACATTATACACTACATTATACACTACTACACACTACATTATATAGTACATTATATAGTACATTATACACTACTATACACTACTATATACTACATTATACACTACTATACACTACTATACACTAATATATACTACATTATATACTACTATACACTACTATACACTACATTATATACTAAATTATACACTACTATACACTACTATACACTACTATATACTACATTATATACTACAATATACACTACTACACACTGCATTATACACTACATTATACACTACATTATATACTACTACACACTACATTATACACTACATTATACACTACATTATATACTACTACACACTACATTATACACTACATTATACACTACATTATATACTACATTATATACTACATTATACACTACTACACACTGCATTATACACTACCATATACTACTATACACTACATTATACACTGCGTTATACACTGCATTATACACTACTATACACTACATTATATACTACATTATAGACTACATTATACACTACTATACACTACTATACACTGAATTATACACTACCATACACTACTAAATACTACTATATACTACATTATATACTACATTATACACTACATTATACACTACATTATACACTACTATACACTACTATACACAACTATATACTACATTATATACTACTATACACTAGTATACACTACATTAAACACTACATTATACACTACATTATGCACTACTATACACTACTATACACTACTATATACTACATTATACACGACATTATACACTACATTATACACTGCATTATACACTACTATACACTCCACTATACACTACACTATACACTACCATACACTACTATACACTACTCTACACTAAATTATACACTACTATATACTACATTATATACTACATTATACACTACATTATACACTACTACACACTGCATTATACCCTGTATTATACACTGCATTATACACTACTATACACTACTATACACTGAATTATACACTACCATACACTACTATATACTACTATATACTACATTATATACAACATTATACACTACATTATACACTACATTATACACTACATTCTACACTACATTATACACTGCATTATACACTACTACACACTACATTATACACCACATTATACACTACATTATACACTACTACACTGCATTATACACTACATTATACACTACATAATACACTACTATACACTACTATACACAACTATATACTACATTATATACTACTATACACTAGTATACACTACATTATACACTACATTATACACTACATTATGCACTACTATACACTACTATACACTACTATATACTACATTATACACTACATTATACACTACATTATACACTGCATTATACACTACTATACACTCCACTATACACTACACTATACACTACCATACACTACTATACACTGCTATACACTAAATTATACACTACTATATACTACATTATATACTACATTATACACTACATTATACACTACTACACACTGCATTATACCCTGTATTATACACTGCATTATACACTACTATACACTAGCATACACTACATTATACACTACCATACACTTAATTATACACTACATTATACACTAAATTATATACTACATTATATACTACATTATACACTACATTATACACTAGTATACACTACTATACACTACTATACACTACTATACACTCCATTATACACTACTATACACTACTATACACTGTATTATACACTACATTATACACTGCATTATACACTACTATACACTACATTATACACTACGTTATATACTACTACACACTACATTATACAGTGCATTATACACTACAATAGACTACATTTTACACTACTATACACTTCATTATATACTAATACACACTACATTATACACTACATTATATAGTAGTGTATAGTACACAACATTATATGCTACACACTACATTATACACTGCATTATACACTACTATACACTACTATACACTCCATTAAACACTACATTATACGCTGCATTATACACTGCATTATACACTAATATACACTACTATACACTATATTATACACTGCATTATACAATACTACACACTACATTATACACTACATTATACACTGCATGATACACTACTACACACTGTATTATACACTAATATATACTACATTATATACTACATTATATACTACATTATACACTATTATACACTACATTATACACTACTATACACTACATTATACACTGCATTATACACTGCATTATACACTACTACACATTACATTATACACTGAATTATACACTGCATTATACACTACATTATACACTACATTATACACTACTACACACTGCATTGTACACTGAATTATAAACTGCATTATACACTACATTATCCACTACTATACACTACTACACACTGCATTTTACACTGCATTATACACTACATTATACACTACATTATACACTGCATTATACACTACTACACACTACATTACACACTATATTATGCACTACAATACACACTACTATACACTACACTATAACTATATTGTATACTACAATACACAACACTATACACTACACTACACATTACTATACACTACTATAAACTACACCATACATGACACTATACACTACTATACACTACACTACACACTACACCACACATTACACTGTACACTACGCTATACACTACTATAAACTACACTCTACACTGCACTGTACACTACACTACTTTACACTACACTAATATACACTATACTATACACTGCACTATACACTACACTATACACTGCACTATACACTACACTACTATACACTACACTATACACTGCACTATACACTACACTATACACTGCACTATACACTGCACTATGCAATTCACTATACACTACTACACTATACACTACTATACACTACACTACACACTACACCATACATTACCCTGTACACTACGCTGTACACTACTATATACTACACTACTTTACACTCCTTATCGTGAAGCTCCTCCCACTAATACGCTAGCTCCTCCCACTAATCGAGTAGACCCGCCCACCACGTGATATCCCCCACCCCACCACTGTGACGTCAGGCGAGTGGGAGGTGAAGTTCGACGCCGAGGCCACGAAACTTCAAAGCTTTCACCTGGACGAGAGCAACTCCACCCACGTGACCATGATGCACCAGAGGGAGTATCCCGTGTGGGTGGGCAGACACCCCCAGCTGCCCTGCATGGTGACTACTACACTACACTATACACTACTACACTATACACTACACTATACACTACTACACTACACTATACACTACACTATACACTGGACGAGACCAACTCCACCCACGTGACCATGATGCACCAGAGGGAGTATCCCGTGTGGGTGGGCAGACACCCCCAGCTTCCCTGCATGGTGACTACTACACTACCCTATACACTACTACACTACTACACTACTACACTACACTATACACTACTACACTATACACTACTACACTATACACTACACTATACACTACTACACTACTACACTATACACTACTACACTATACACTACACTATACACTACTACACTACTACACTATACACTACTACACTACACTATACACTAGACACTACTACACTACTACACTACACTATACACTACTACACTATACACTGGACGAGAGCAACTCCACCCACGTGACCATGATGCACCAGAGGGAGTATCCCGTGTGGGTGGGCAGACACCCCAAGCTGCCCTGCATGGTGACTACTACACTACACTATACACTACTACACTACACTATACACTACTACACTACACTATACACTACTACACTATACACTGCTACACTACTACACTACTACACTATACACTACTACACTACACTATACACTACTACACTATACACTATACACTGGACGAGACCAACTCCACCCACGTGACCATGATGCACCAGAGGGAGTATCCCGTGTGGGTGGGCAGACACCCCCAGCTGCCCTGCATGGTGACTACTACACTACCCTATACACTACTACACTACACTATACACTACTACACTATACACTACTACACTAAGCACTACTACACTACACTACTACACTATAGACTACTACACTATACACTATACACTACTACACTATACACTACTACACTATACACTACTACACTACTACACTATACACTACTACACTACACTATACACTACTACACTATACACTACACTATACACTACTACACTACACTATACACTACACTATACACTACTACACTATACACTACTACACTATACACTACACTATACACTACTACACTATACACTACTACACTATACACTACTACACTATACACTACTACACTACACTATACACTACACTATACACTGGACGAGACCAACTCCACCCACGTGACCATGATGCACCAGAGGGAGTATCCCGTGTGGGTGGGCAGACACCCCCAGCTGCCCTGCATGGTGACTGCTACACTACACTATACACTACTACACTATACACTACACACTATACACTACACTATACACTACTACACTATACACTACTACACTATACACTACTACACTAGTACACTACTACACTATACACTATACACTACACTATACACTACTACACTTTACACTATACACTACTACACTATACACTACTACACTATACACTACTACACTACACTATACACTACTACACTATACACTACATTATACACTACTACACTACACTATACACTACTACACTACACTACACACTACACTATACACTACTACACTATACACTACTACACTATACACTACACTATACACTACTACACTATACACTACACACTATACACTACACTATACACTACTACACTATACACTACTACACTATACACTACTACACTACACTAGGACACTACTACACTATACACTACTACACTATACACTACACTATACACTACTACACTTTACACTATACACTACTACACTATACACTACTACACTAAACACTACTACACTACACTATACACTACTACACTATACACTACACTATACACTACTACACTACACTATACACTACTACACTATACACTACTACACTATACACTACTACACTATACACTACACTATACACTACTACACGATACACTACTACACTATACACTACACTATACACTACTACACTATACACTACTACACTATACACTACTACACTACACTATACACTACTACACTACACACTGGACGAGACCAACTCCACCCACGTGACCATGATGCACCAGAGGGAGTATTCCGTGTGGGTGGGCAGACACCCTCAGCTGCCCTGCATGGTGACTACTACACTACACTATACACTACTACACTACACTATACACTACTACACTATACACTACTACACTACACTATACACTACTACACTATACACTACTACACACTACAATACTACACACTACACTACTACACTATACACTACTACACTACTACACTATACACTACTACACTATACACTACATACTATACACTACACTATACACTACTACACTACACACTACTACACACTACACTACTACACTACACTATACACTACTACACTACACACTACACTACACTATACACTACTACACTATACACTACTACACTACACTATACACTACTACACTACACTATACACTACTACACTATACACTACTACACTACACTATACACTACTACACTACACTATACACTACTACACTATACACTACTACACTACACTATACACTACTACACTACACTACTACACTATACACTACTACACTACACACTACTACACTACTACACTACACTACTACACTATACACTACTACACTACACTATACACTACTACACTACACTATACACTACACTACTACACTATACACTACACTACACTACTCACTACACTATACACTACACTATACACTACACTATACACTACTACACTACACTATACACTACTACACTACACTACTACACTATACACTACTACACTATACACTACTACACTACACTATACACTACTACACTCCACTATACACTACTACACTACACTATACACTACTACACTATACACTACTACACTATACACTACTACACTATACACTACACTACTACACTATACACTACTACGCTACACCATAAACTACTATACTATACACTACTACACTATACACTACTACACTACACTATACACTACTACACTATACACTACTACTATACACTACTACACTATACACTACTACACTACACTACTACACTACACTATATACTACACTATACACTACTACACTATACACTACTACTATTCACTACAACACTATACACTACTACACTATACACTACTACACTACACTATACACTACACTACACACTACTACACTACACTATACACTACTACACTATACACTACTACACTATACACTACACTACTACACTACACTACACACTACTACACTACACTATACACTACTACACTATACACTACTACACTATACACTACTACACTACACTATACACTACTACACTATACACTACACTATACACTACTACACTATACACTACTACACTATACACTACTACACTGTACACTACTACACTATACACTACTACACTACACTATACACTACTACACTACACACTACTACACTATACACTACTACACTACACTATACACTACATTATACACTACTACACTACTACACTACACTATACACTACTACCCTAACCCCCCCCCCCCACTCCCACCGAAGGCGTTGAAGGTGCCCTTCAAAGGCAACGGGAGCCTCGTGTTGTTCCTGCCGGACGGGAGGAGCCCCTCCAACCTTAGCAGCGTCGTGGACTCGCTCACTCCGTCGCTTATCAGCGGCCTGCTGGAAGGCGGCGGCCTCAGCAAACGGAGCATCACTCTCGTCATGCCCAGGATGGACCTCGTGGTGGATCGCGACCTGAAACGTCCGCTGGAGGCGATGGGTGAGAGACGCGTGGGGTGGGTGGGTGAGTTGGTGTTGGGGTTGGGGTTGGTTGGTGGGTGTTGGTGGGTTGGTGGGTGTTGGTGTTGGTGGGTGGGTGGGTTGGTGAGTGGGTTGGTGGGTGGGTTGGTGAGTGGGTGGATTGGTGGGTGGGTGGGTTGGTTAGTGAGTGGGTTGGTGAGTGGGTTGGTTGGTGTGTTGGTTGGTGGGTTGGTGAGTTGGGTTGGTGAGTGGGTGGATTGGTGGGTGGGTGGGTTGGTTAGTGAGTGGGTTGGTGAGTGGGTTGGTTGGTGTGTTGGTTGGTGGGTTGGTGAGTTGGGTTGGTGAGTGGGTGGATTGGTGGGTGGGTGGGTTGGTTAGTGAGTGGGTTGGTGAGTGGGTTGGTGGGTGTGTTGGTTGGTGGGTTGGTTGGTGAGTGGGTGGGTGGGTGGGTGTTGGTGTTGGTTGGTTGGTGGGTGGGTTGGTGATTGGGTGGGTTGGTGGGTGGGTGGCTTGGTGGGTGGGTGGCTTGGTGGGTTGGTGGGTTGGTTGGTGTGTTGGTGGGTGGGTGGGTGTTGGTGTTGGGGTTGGTTGGTGGGTGTTGGTGGGTTGGTTGGTGGGTGGGTTGGTGAGTGGGTGGGTGGGTGTTGGTGTTGGTGTTGGTTGGTGGGTGTTGGTGGGTTGGTTGGTGGGTTGGTGAGTGGGTGGGTGGGTGTTGATGTTGGGGTTGGTTGGTGGGTGTTGGTGTGTTGGTTGGTGGGTTGGTTGGTGGGTTGGTGGGTTGGTGGGTGTGTTGGTGGGTGGGTTGGTGGGTTGGTGGGTTGGTTGGTGGGTTGGTGGGTGGGTTGGTGGGTTGGTGGGTTGGTGGGTGGGTGGGTTGGTGGGTGGGTGGCTTGGAGGGTTGGTGGGTTGGTTGGTGTGTTGGTTAGTGGGTGGGTTGGTGGGTTGGTTGGTGGGTTGGTGGGTTGGTGGGTGAGTGGGTTGGTGAGTGGGTAGGTGGGTTGGTGGGTGGGTAGGTGGGTTGGTGCGTGGGTGGGTTGGTGAGTGGGTTGGTGAGTGGGTGGGTGGGTTGGTGGGTTGGTGGGTGGGTGGGTGATGTGTTGGTTGGTTGGTGAGTGTGTTGGTGGGTTGGTGAATGGGTTGGTGGGTGGGTTGGTGGGTGGGTTGGTGGGTGGGTTGGTGGGTTGGTGGGTGTGTTGGTGGGTTGGTGGGTGGGTTGGTGGGTTGGTGGGTGGGTTGGTGCGTTGGTGGGTGGGTGGGTGATGTGTTGGTTGGTTGGTTGGTGAGTGTGTTGGTGGGTTGGTGAATGGGTTGGTGGGTGGGTTGGTGGGTGGGTTGGTGGGTGGGTTGGTGGGTTGGTGGGTGTGTTGGTGGGTTGGTGGGTGGGTTGGTGGGTGGGTTGGTGGGTTGGTTGGTGGGTTGGTGGGTGGGTGGGTTGGTGGGTTGGTGGGTTGGTGGGTGATGTGTTGGTTGGTTGGTGAGTGTGTTGGTGGGTTGGTGAATGGGTTGGTGGGTGGGTTGGTGGGTGGCTTGGTGGGTTGGTGGGTTGGGTGGGTGCGTGGAATGGTGGGTGGTTCGGTGGGTTGGTGGGTGGGTTGGTGGGTTGGTGTTAACATCGCCACTGGGGAGACAAAGGCGGTCGGGCGTGGTGCTGGCCACCCACCCCTTCGTGTTCCGTTCCGGCCTTCATAGGTGCTCGCTAACAGCACTTGCCCCAACAGTCTGTTACAGGCTACATGGGGGATCTTTGTCTTTGTGTGTCTGGGTCATTTAGCCCGCATGCCCAGCCACTGCAAACCAAATCTGCTACACTTCACTATACACTAGAACACTACTACGCTACACTATACACTACTACACTACACTATACACTACTACACTACACTATACACTACTACACTATACACTACACTATACACTACATTACACTATACACTATACACTACTACACCACCGTCTCTCGCTGTGTACAGGTCTGCAGGAGGTGTTTGTGTCCCCTGACTTGAGCGAACTCTCCACTGCCTCTCTGAGAGTCTCCGCTACAATACACTATACACTACTACACTACACTACTACACTATACACTACTACACTACACTACACACTACTACACTATACACTACTACACTACACTATACACTACTACACTATACACTACTACACTACACTATACACTACTACACTATACACTACTACACTATACACTACTACACTACACTATACACTACTACACTATACACTACTACACTATACACTACTACACTACACTATACACTACTACACTACACACTACTACACTATACACTACTACACTATACACTACTACACTACACACTACTACACTACACTATATACTACTACACTATACACTAGTACACTTTACACTACTACACTATACACTACTACACTATACACTACTACACTATACACTACTACACTATACACTACTACACTATACACTACTACACTACACTATACACTACTACACAATACACTACTACACTATACACTACTACACTATACACTACTACACTATACACTACTACACTACACTATACTCTACTACACTATATACTACTACACTACACTATACACTACACTATACACTACTACACTATACACTACTACACTATACACTACTACACTACACTATACACTACTACACTATACACTACTACACTATACACTACACTATACACTACACTACTACACTATACACTACTACACTATACACTACTACACTACACTACTACACTATTACACTATATACAACTACACTATACACTACACTACTACAGTACACTATACACTACACTATACACTACACTACTACACTACACTATACACTACTACACTACACTATACACTACTACACTACACTATACACTACTACACTACACTATACACTACTACACTACACTATACACTACTACACTATACACTACTACACTACACTATACACTACTACACTACACTATACACTACTACACTATACACTACTACACTACACTATACACTACACTATACACTACTACACTACACACTACTACACTACACTATACACCACTACACTATACATTATACACTAATACACTATACACTACTCCACTACACTATACACTACTACACTACACTATACACTACTACACTATACACTACTACACTATACACTACACTATACACCATACACTACTACACTATGCACTACTACACTACACTATGCACTACTACACTATACACTACTACACTACACTATACACTACACTACTACACTATACACTACACTATACACTACACTATACACTACACACTATTACACTATACACTACTACACTACACTATACACTACAACACTATACACTACACTATACACTACACTACTACACTCCACTATACACTACTTTCTCTCGCTGTGTACAGGTCTGTAGGAGCTCTTTGAGTCACCTGACCTGAGCGAGCTCTCCACTGCCTCTCTGAGAGTCTCCGCTGTGATCCACTACACTATACACTACTACACTACACTATACACTACTACACTACACTATACACTACTACACTACACTATACACTACACTATACACTACTACACTATACACTACTACACTACACTATACACTACCGTCTCTCGCTGTGTACAGGTCTGCAGGAGCTCTTTGAGTCACCTGACCTGAGCGGGCTCTCCACTGCCTCTCTGAGAGTCTCCGCTGTGATCCACTACATTATACACTACTACACTACACTATACACTACTACACTATACACTACTACACTATACACTACTACACTACACTATACACTACTACACTACACTATAGACTACTACACTACACTACTACACTACACTATACACTACTACACTACACTATACACTACTACACTACACTTTACACTACACTATACACTACTACACTATACACTACTACACTACTACACTACACACTACACTATACACTACTACACTACACTATACACTACACTATACACTACTACACTATACACTACTACACTACACTATACACTACTACACTATACACTACTACACTATACACTACTACACTATACACTACACTACTACACTATACACTACTACACTATACACTACACTACACACTACTACACTACACTATACACTACACACTACTACACTACACTATACACTACTTTCTCTCGCTGTGTACAGGTCTGCAGGAGCTCTTTGAGTCACCTGACCTGAGCGAACTCTCCACTGCCTCTCTGAGAGTCTCCGCTGTGATCCACTACACTATACACTACTACACTACACTATACACTACTACACTACACTATACACTACACTATACACTACTACACTACACTATACACTACACTATACACTACTACACTACACTATATACTACACTATACACTACTACACTATACACTACACTATACACTACACACTACTACACTATACACTACTACACTATACACTACTACACTATACACTACTACACTACACACTACTACACTACTACACTACACTATACACTACACTATACACTACTTTCTCTCGCTGTGTACAGGTCTGCAGGAGCTCTTTGAGTCCCCTGACCTGAGCGGGACTCTCCACTGGGTCTCTGAGAGTCTCGGCTGTGATCCACTCCACTATACACTACTACACTACACTATACACTACTACACTACTACACTACACTATACACTACACTATACTCTACTACCCTATACACTACTACACTACCCTATACACTACACTATACACTACTACACTACACTATACACTACTACACTATACAGTACACTATAAAGTACACTATACACTACTACACTACACTATACACTACACTATACACTACTACACTATACACTACTACACTACACTATACACTACTACACTATACACTACTACACTACACTACTACACTACTACACTATACACTACACTACACACTACTACACTACACTATACACTACACACTACACACTACTACACTACACTACACACTATACACTACTACACTACACTATACACTACTACACTACACT